TTGAGAAGCATGGAGGCTCGGGTGCCAGTTGACCACGCATTGAGACCATTCTCGAGGGGACTGCTTCGCCACTCTCGCGGCACATCTCCGCACTAATCGCCGTTGCCTCGTAGTCCAATCGATCACACTGTGCTTGTGCATGAGGCTTTCTGCTTGTCTTGTCGTGCGCTTGATGTATTCGACCCACGACTCCAAGACAATGCTCTCCAGTGCGACGTTCTCCTCGTTGTCGGTGCTGGGGATGTTAGCCGTGCTGGTATCTGCGTTTGGGTGGGTAGATGACGGTCGGTTGCGTTTTGCTTCTCCGTGCGTGTCGTCTTCGTGGGTTTGCGGTTCTGTCGTCGCTTGAGTCGTGCGTTGGCCGGTCGCACTGGATGTCGGTCTCGTGTTGGCGGTGTTGCGTCGTCGTGGGGAACCGACAATCATTCGTAACATGCGTCGCTGGGTGCATCGTAACTGTTGTCGTAGAGGCTCGGTAAGAGTCCAAGTGGCCGCCCCGTATAGTACCGTCGGTGTAACAGTGCCTTCGAAAAGTCGGAGTCGGTGCTTCAAGGGGTAGTGCTTCGCTGTGACTTCCTCTTTGCGAGCAGTGAAGGCTGCCCAACCTGCCTTGATCCGGCGTTGCACCTCGGCGTGCATGGTGTCTTGGAAGCTGATCTGCTGTTTGACTGACCCACAGTGAGGTAAAATCTCGATTTCCATGCTGTTCACCTTGTGCTGCCGTGCTCTCCCAGTCCTGTCAGTCAAATTCGTCAGGATTTTCGTCTTGTCCGGGTGGATGTGGAGGCCGTGTTGTTGTGCAGCTGTGGCCATGTGTTCAAGCATTGTCGTCAGAAGAACGTCGTCGGCAAAGCGCAGGTTGGTCAGAGAGCAGTCTTTAGTGAAGCCGAGATTGGATGCCGTGGTTGGGCTTTTTCCATGTGTTCACAAGTGGACGCATGCTGTGTTCAAGACGCGAACTGAAAAGTAGTGAACTATGGGGATCGCCCTGCTTTGTGCCCCTCTGCAGGTTGAATGGGCGGCTGGTCGTGTCTGTCTGCACCGTGGCTGTTTGGCCAGAATACATCTTCCGGAGTAGGTGTATGCAGCTTGGTGCGACACCTTGGCTCTTGAGTGCGGTCCAGAGGCTCTCGTGCTCGACCGTGTCGAAAGCCTTCTTGAAGTCCAGCGTCGCTATCCAAAGTGGTTGGTTCCATTCCAGAACTCTCTCCCGAAGCATGTGGAAAGTGAAGAGGTGATCTTGCGTCGAACGTCCCAAGCGGAATCCTGCTTGGTCTGGGGGCTGTTGTTAGTCCAGGGGCGGCTGCAGTCTATCGTATAGAAGCTTGCTGAAAAGTGTGTAGAGCAGGGGAATGGTGCAGACTGGTCTGTAGCTCTGAGGTTGCTTGGGGTCACCTGCTTTCGGGATTACTGGGGACGGGCTAAAAAGAGGTGCAACAGCAGGAAGAGAAAGGGAGAGAAGGATGACGGGGGACTGGGCTAAGAATTGTGAGTGTATCTATCTCTCCTTGTCCTTCCCTGACCTATCGTTAGCTCGGCCCAGGTTTTGCCTTACACTGGCATGGGAACTCTTCCTCTGGAAGGGAACCTCATAGTCATCGTCTCTAGCCTGGACCCCTGGGTGGTTTAGGCTCCTTGAGCCTTTCCCCCGTTTCCACAAGATGAAGATAATGATAAGACGGACTGAGCTGCAAAATGACGAGCGGGAGGAAGACGAGGAATATACGGAAGCAAACGAATAATGAGGATAACGGGGCGAAGAGGAATCATTGAGCAGGTAGGGGCACCTACATTTCACACGATCAGCAACACCAGTAGCAACAACAAATAGTGACAATCACAGCAATAGAAATGGCAACCGGAGGGACACTCGGACGGGGAGGATGCGGAGGAGGTTCAGAGGCATGGAGCACGAGTACACATACATATAGTCGATCAATACATTATATATACAAGAAGGTATAACATATCAGGCGGGAGGAAATAGAAGAGGGAGGACGGAGGGGCTGGAAGAGGGAACAGGGGTGAGGGGTCTCCCAAGACGGCCTAAGACAGCCCCTGGAGGGCCCCAAGAGGGGCTCCAAGAAAGCCCAAGAGGGGGAATTCGAGCTGACAGTTCGAGCCTTTTCCACCAAGATGACCCCTCGAGCCCCCCAGAGGCTCCCGAGGCCCCTCCAAGAGGCCCCATGAGGCCTCCAAGTCGCCCTCAAGACGCCCCGCAGAAGCCCCCACGAGGCCCCCAAAAACCTCTCAGATGTCCCAAGAGTTTTCCAAGGGGTCCCAGAGAGGCACCCCAAGAGTCCCTCATATGCATCCAACAATCTCTGGACTCAAGAAATCCGCCGACCCTGTCGGAGTGTGGAAGACGCATCCCGGTGTCGTCGTCGTGCGTGGGTCACCGTCGTCGTCGTCGTCGTCGTCGTCGTCGCCCGAAATAAAAGGAAACCGAACACGAAACAGAAGGAAATCGTAGTCGTGGCGAAGCCCCTCCCTACCCTCCCCACTGGGAGGGTGGGGTGGGGGGGGGGGCAGATACGCATCACCCCTCTCCTCTCCTCTTCCCCTCTCCTCTCCCTCCCCCTCCCTCCTCTCCTCCCCTCCTCCTCCTCCTCCTCCTCCTCCCTCCTCCTCCTCCTCCTCCTCCTCCTCCTCCTCCTCCTCCTCCTCCTCCCCTTCTTCCTCCTCCTCCTCCTCCTCCGCCGCCACGTCTTCATTTACCTCCGACGTCTTATCACCCATCCCGTCACCCTCGAGGGCCGAGGTATTCAGGGTCGGCGGCACCGGCCGTAAGGCCTTAGCAATAACTTCCATGATTGTCTCAACCACTCACTCCTTGTCTTAGCCTCTTTTTGGGCCCTTTTCGGGTTCCTCTTCGGCCCTTCTTGGCGCCCAAGAACGCCCAAGGGCGGCCAAACATCGGCCCAAGAGAACTTCAAAAAGCCACTTTGAGGGCTCCAGAGGAGAGGGCGTCAATCGGGGACCCCGCCCCTCGTGTGACCGATGGCCTCCAAGGAGGCCCCAAGAGCTCCTCCTCCGAGGCTCCAAAGGGCTCCCAAGAGAGCCCCAAGAGAGCTCAAAGACCCCCAGGCTTCCCGAAAGAGCACCAAGAGGACCTCGAACCATTCAGAGGAGCCCCAAGAGGTCAACGACGGAGCCTCAGCAGCACCCCGACAGGCCCTCCAGAGAGCAACGTCAACAGCAGAAGCACCACTAGCAGCGGCAGCACCACCACTGCGACCAGCACCAGCAGCAGCAGCAGCAGCACCACCACCACCACCACTGACAACAGCAGCGGCACCACAAGCAGCAGCAGCACTAACACCAGCAACATCAGCACCGGCGCCAGCAGCGCCAGCAGCAGCAGCAGCAGAAGTAGGACCAACAGCAGCAGCGGCACCAGCACTGCACCGTACCACCAGCAGGAGCGACAACAGCAACACCAGCAGCAACACCAGCCGCAGCACCACCACCACTAACAGTAGCAAGTACGACAAACCTACTGTCGAACAGCCACGAGGCATGCCTGAGCATAGTAGGCGATAGCATAGGAAGAGAGAACGCGGGACAAAAACAACACAACACACGACTTGTATGAATTCCTGCCTATGTTTCTCCCGTCATGGAGCCGTCTTCGCCTCGTCCGGCGAGAGCTGGAATGGGTGGGCGGTGAACGCGAAGCGTCTTGAATAAAAGGGGGAAGGAGGGCCAGGAAGAGGGAAGAAGGGGGAGGGGGAACTGATAAGAACACTGACAGCAGGATGAGCAAAAATGGAGAACGAGAATGGGGACGAGCGCGGGGAGGAGGTAGAGGGCGGAGGAAAAGCGCAAATAGGACGAGGACGAGAAAGGCGAAGGAGCGCGTCTCTCGCTCTCCTCCCCCGAGCAAACATAATTGCATAAACATACACACGTGGAAAGCGAGCGCATGCGGGCACGCTAACCGATCGCAGGTCGCCCATGTTGATGGACATCCCATGGGTCGAGGGTCCACGAAGGTTAGCGTACACTGTGATGTGGGCCGCCCACCGACTAGATAGATGCACGCTATCTTTCTGCCAACATTGCAACAAACTCTCGGAGGTCCGCGCGGATTTCTCGGATCGGCGCTGGACCCTCCCTGACGCACAGAGCGCGCCAGGGGCGGCGCTGGAGGTGCCAAGAGGGGGCCCCAGCGCCGATCCGAGAAATCTGCGCGGCCCTCCGAATGCTTCTGTGTATGCCACTGTTTGTTCCCCGAGGGGGGGGGGCGGGCTGGGGGGAGGGTGCGGTCCCGACGGGGCGGGGGATCGAAGCCGAGCAGAGCTGCACGGGCGCGGGTCTTCGGAGGTCCGCGCCCCCCCTCGCCGAGGGGGCGGGAAGGGGAGGGGGGTGGAGGGGAGCGGGCCGGGGCGTTCTGCGCCACTGTCTGAGTCTTCAACCCCCCCGCCCCTGGGGACCGCGCCCCCTCACGCCCCGGCGGGGGGGGGAGGGCGGCGGAGCAAAGGAGCGCGGGAAGGGCAGGGCTGGCGACGGAGCGGCACGCGCGCGCATGCGAGCGGCACCGCCCGCCGCTCTTCGGGGGGAACCAGGACAAGCGGTAGGGGGTGGGCCGGCTCGGGGGCGGGGGCGGGGGGGGGGGGACATCGACCTGAACTGAGCGATGCCTCGCCGACAGGTTGGTGATGGGCTCTCGATAGAGGACCCGCACGTTCTTGGGCGGGGTGGGCCATCACGCCCCTATCTAGGGGAACAAGAAAAACATAAGCATCAACCAACTTTCAGAGGTCTGCGTGGATGTCTTGGATCGGCGCTGGGCCCCCCTGCCTGGCACGCGGAGCACGCCATGGGCGGCGCCAGAGGCGCCGCCAGGTGGCCCCAGCGCCGATCCAAGAAATCCGCGCGGACCCCCAAAGTTTACGTTTGTGCAGTTGCTTGTTCTGAGACTATTGTCGATGAGTGGGCGATTGGGGGTTGACGCGTTCCCCCCTGAGCCTAACCCCCCCCCCTAGCGTTGCCCCTGGCAGGCCCGCCTGCACGTCCAGCACCGAGGCGCCGATCAGGCGCAACACGAAGGGTAGCCTCCCCTTCGCAGGAGGGAAGCGCGTCCTGAAGGAAACGCGTCCTGGACCCCCAGAGGAACAAACACCGGCATAACCCAACTGTTGGAGCTTCGCACGGATTTCTTGGATCGGCGCTGGCCCCCCCCCCCCGGCGGCGCCTCCAGCGCCGCCCCTGGCGCGGTCCGCGCGCCAAGGAGAAGGGTCCAGCGCAGATCCAAGAGATCTGCGCGGAGCTCCGAAATGTTATGGTCATGCTGTTTTTGTTATTCGAGGACCCGGGGTCCTTCCCCCAGGACGAGTCATTCATCCCAAGTCGTTTTCTCACAGTCCCAGGGCCCGTGGAGGGCCCCGTGGGCACGAAGATGGGGAAACCCACAACGACATACACGTAAAAAACTTGAGGTCCGCGCGGATTCCTCGGGTCGGCGCTGGACGCCCCTCCCTGGTGAGCGGAGCGCGCCACGGGCGGCGATGGAGGCGCCACCGCGGGGCTCCAGCGGCCAGCGCCGATCCGAGGAACCCACGCGGACCTCCGAGTTTTCATGCTCGTGTCATTGCTTGTTCCCCGAGAAGACGGCGGAAAAGACTAAGGACCCGTCTCTCGGGCTGGGCGAAAGGGAGTGATAGCAAATGGGAGGTTTGAGAATCAGCTCAAGTAGCTGTTTTTTCCGGCGCCTCCCAGCGCCGGAGGCGCCCATGTATCGAGGAATGGGCCCGGCGGCGGGGCCGAAACCAGCTGCGTGCAGCAGATTTCGCAACCCCTCCTCTCCCTGTCCCCCCCTTTCGGTTGGCCCGAGTCTCCCTCAGGACCCGTCCAGCACCGGGGCGCCGACCAGGCGCGGCACGAACGGCAACCTCCCTCCCCCCCCCCCCTTCGAGGCTCCTCCGCCCTGCCGCCGAGCTCCTCGCCCGGCCGCCCCCCGTGCTCTCGAAGCGTCCGCGGGGAGGGCGTGGGGGCACGGGGGCGCGGGCGAGGGGGGGGGGCCTCCCGGAGCTGCACTGGGCGGGGGGGAGGGCGAAGTGTCGGGCAAAGGGCGGAGGAGGGCGGAGGAGGGGGAGGAGGAGGAGGAGGAGGAGGAGGAGGAGGAGGAGGAGGAGGAGGAGGAGGAGGAGGAGGAGGAGGAGGAGGTGGAGGAGGAGGAGGTGGAGGAGGAGGGGAGGAGGCGGGGGAGGGTCGGGCGAAGGGCGGAGGAGGGCGAGGGGCGAGCTGGCAGCACGCTCGCGCCCATGTCTGCCATCCGGCCGCTCCCTGCCACTCCTTCCCGTTGCGCCGATTGCTTCTCTCTACAGTCGGACTCGATTGGACAGGACACGAGAGAGGACACAAGACCCTTCCGAGGGCCGCCTTGCCACAGGAATGTAGGACGCATGGGTCGCGAGACACAGGACACAAGGGTACCCTTGATTTGGCAGGGTCGACCTACAAATCTGGGCCGACTGTGTCCGCGGGCGCGTGTCGTAGCCAGCCTGGAACTCCACAAAGGACCCCATCGTGCGATGCGCAGCTGGAGAATGGAAACTTGCGAAACCCGTGCAACCCGGGGGACCTCTGTGGCCTGTGGGGCCTCCGAGACCGGCGACGCCTGTTGGACTTGTGATACCTGTTGGACCTATGGGGCCTGTGAAACCTGCGAGACCTGTTGGACCCGTGGCACCGGCGGGAAGACCTGTCGGATCTGTTGGACCCTTGGGGCATGCGAGACCTGCGACACATGTGGAACTTGTGGACCTGTCAAAACAGCGGACCCTGTGGGACCTGTGGGGCCTGTGGTGCTTGCGACACCTGCGAGACCTGTAGGATCCAACAAAGTGGCCCAAGCTGGGGCGGGAACGCCATTCTGAACAACGTGAGCACAACGCCGATCCGAACATGAGGCCCACGCTGCAACTGGAGCACCATGTTGAAAAACAAAATCAAAGCCATTTCGCGCAAATCCTGCGCAAAAACGCAGGACGCGGAAAGATCGAAGTGAGACATCACGAAATAAAGCTTGCTCGCTCGAATCATGTAAAAAACACTACACGGAGAGGGCGGACACTCTCAGGACAGTTTCGGGGGAGAGAGGACAATAGTATCCATAATGGGTGTATATATATATATATATATATATATATATATATATAAGAAAAATCGGGAGAGAGTAGGGAGAAAAAGAAGCCGGAAGTCTCCCAAACTGGGTCCCAAAAGATGTGATCGGAAAATCGAGCCGCATCTCCGATGCATCGACGTTGCGTCCGCGACCGTCGGCGACATCGGCTGCGTCGGCGTTGAGAAAATCGGGCTCCGAATCTAACCGCATCGCCGATGCATCGGCGATGCGGCGCGACCCTCCGACCCCATCTACCCGGACAGATTGGTAGGCTCGGAGAAGCGGAGGAAGTGGAGAGAGACCTCAAGACTCTGACGGCCTGGAGCGAGACAGGGTCGTACGGCTGCGCGTTAAGGATACAGGGCCTTTTGACGGCCCACGTTGGTCGCTGTATTCGCCCTCTTGTACAAAAAAGGGGACACTAGTCTGCCTGAGAATTACAGGCCGATATCTTTATTGCCCGTTGCCTACAAAATCCTGGCCTGGATGATGCAAAAACGCTTGCAAAAAGGAGGCGCGGAGAGCCGAATACGGAATTCGCAATTCGGTTTCCGACCAAACCGGAGCACCTCCCAAGCCATAGCTATTGTTAGACGCATGTTTGATGCAGCGCAGGCGGCGAAAGCCCCTGGACTCATCGCGGTTTTCTTAGATTGGGCGAAAGCCTTCGATAAGATAAAGCACGACATGTTAATTGGAGCTCTTACTAGGTTTGGCATCCCACAACCGACGGTGGACATGATAGGAAGTATTTATTCAGCACGGCGATTTATTCTGCAGGATTCCGCGGGTAACTCGTCGCAGCGGTGCCAAGCATCAGGCATAGCACAAGGCTGCCCCCTCTCGCCGTATTTGTTCATTATCGTGCAGAGCGTGATGTTTTTCGACGTTGATCGCGCAGTGGAGGGCGTGCACACAGATGTCGTCGAACCAGAATTTTTAGTTTGCCCAGACATTTCAAACGCAGATGATACAGTGCTTGCGAGTAGCAGCGCCAATAAGTTGCAGACGTTGCTAGACGCTGTGATTTGCGAAGGAACAAAGTACGGCTTCGAATTAAATTGGGCCAAGACGGTGGCCATTAATATACAGAACAATGGGGTTGTCAAGACCCCCTCGGGCACCCCAGTGGTCCCTGCACGGCAAGTTGTTTATTTAGGTGGTCTTCTAAACGCAGACGCCACCGCCAAGCCGGAACTAACGCGGCGCCTCGGAGAGGCACGCGGTGTGTTCACAGCGTTACAGCGTTGTTGGTCACACGCCAACATTACGAGATCTAGGAAGCTCGAGCTGAGCAGTGCGATTGTGCTTCCACAGCTATGATACAATTTAGAAACACTGTGGCTTTTAAAAGCAGACAAAAAGAGATGAGACAGTTTCAATGCGCAGTGTCTCAGGCGTATTTGCCGCATTCCACATTCATATTTGTCGAGAGTGTCCAACGACCAAGTTTTGAACATATGTCGAGCCCGCCCTCTCAGTGAGGCGCTTTGTGAGAGACAGACTTCGCTATACAACAAGACCGCAGGGTTGTCACAAGACCACCCGCTGCGAGTTCTCACCTGCAAGCCCAAATCATATTTACCTCGGGTCTGGGACCAATGCCGGAAGAGAGGCAGACCGAAGCAACAGTGGGCTTCGTGTGTTTACAAGCTTCTGCCACAACAGTGGTCCTGAGGTGGTCCCCACCCCTTCTTCGTTCCCTCCTCCCTCCGCCCCCCCCCCCTTCCTCCCCCTCCTCCTGCGTGGCGCCGATACGTTTGCAGGTGAATTCATATCCTTCTCACTGCCCGCAGTTCTTTGCCACACGCATAACTTTTTATCTTGCCAATGCGCCGTCTGTGCGCCAGGCTTGACTGACTGACTGTTGGAATCGAGAGTGGAGGCCTGCCACCAAGGCAAGGGCCGCCACCAGGCAGCTAAAGTGGCAGAGGAAAAACCCAAAAGCAGCGAATGAGGGGCAACGACGACGCGACGCAGGCCACAAACTACATCGTGGAAGCCGCGCGCCAGTGGTCAGCGCAAGGACGCCGTATAACTCAGCCTCTTTGTCCACCCACCCTCTTCCGCTCCTCCTCTTATACCCCCTCCTCCCTGTCATCATCGACCCCCTCCTTTTCATGTCTTCCTCCTTTTTCCTCCTCCTCCGTTTCCAGCAGGATCTAGCTCATTCGTTACCATCGAGCGCTGTGCAAGTGGGCCTGGTCAGCAGGATCGTACCAATCGCTTGCGCAGTGAGTCCAATGCGAAATGCTCCTGCTCCTCATCCATCCCTTTCGCCTCTCTCCCTCAAACTGGGCGATATTGCGGAGCACCGCAGTGTGAGTTGCATAGTTCAGACTCCAATCACAATCGTCACGTATCGTGATTTCCCGTTCCGATTACTAGATGCTAGCGAGCGTGATCCCCTGACGAGGCCTATGAGCGTTACTTCAACTGCAATTTAGCGTGAATCCAAGGTGCCGAACGCTCTTGGGTTAAGTGCTTAACGTCTCGGTCGAAGATTCTTCTCCCCCTCCTTTCCCCCGAGGCCAATGCTGTTATTGGAACCCCGCTCTCCATAGCGAGCGAGGGGAAGGTACCCCCAGTAGCCTGTTGCACCCCATCGACAGGCCGGTGCGGAACACGATGGCAGCCTCGAGGCCGCTCCAGACCAGGGTCGCCCAAACGCAGAAGCCCAGCTGGTAGCCGGTCAGGCCTCCGAGTGGGCGGATGGGTATCCTCTCCTCGAGAATGGAGGACGAGGCAGAGGATCGAGGAATGAGGCTTTCTGTGTTTTCTGCCACTTAGGAGGCTCAAGCGTGGCTTCCGGAAGCCTCCTGAGTCCTCCAGGAACTCTCTGGAGGCCTCGAGGGACATCTGGAGGCCTCGAGAGGTCCTCCTTTCCTCGTCAATTTCGTTATCCTCGTCCTCTGTTAGTGACGTCGTCGTCGCCGCCACCATATACGTCGTCGTCGCCGTCGTCGACGACGCACTTAATCCCTCCCTCCGTACGCTGGTCCCTCACTCCCTCGGTAACTCGGTCCCACCATCTGTCTCCCCCGTCTCATACCCTCCCCCGCCCCCTCCAATCCCTTCCGCTCCCCCATCTCCCCCCTCACGTCTCCTGCCGCTCCCTCCTTGCTCCCAGCTCCCCCTACAATACAACGATCCGTCGGATCGGATCAGGTGATGTGACCAAAGCCCCCAAACGGCCTGGACTTAATCGAGGCCACATAACCTGTGCCCTCTTTTCTCCTCGTTTTGCTCGTCCTGCACCCTCTGCGCTTCCTCCTGCCGACGGGAGCTATCTCAAAGCTGACGGTCCCGGAGGGACACCCTGAGCAACTTTCTGCAAGCGAAGTTTCCAAAGGGACGGGGGGTCTTTCCCCTATCCAACTGAAGCTCCTCTGCGCCTGCTGCTCTTCCTCCTCCGCATTTCCCGGAGCTCTCCAGAGGTATCGGAGCGTGTCTGCAGGTCCCCCACATGGCGAAAACATGTCCAGCAACCTCGATTATGCTCCTCCTCCTCATCCCGCCCCTATTCCTTTACTCACTCACTCACTCACTATGCTCACTCATTATCCTCACTCACTATCCTCACTCACTCACTCACTCACTCACTCACTCACTCACTCACTCACTGACTCTCCTCACTTACTCTCTCTCTCTCTCACTCACTCACTCACTCACTCACTCACTCGGCGACTGACTTACTGACTGACTGACCGACCGACTGACCGACTGACTGACTCCCCTCTCCTTCTCATTCCTCCTCCCTCTTGCGGCCGCGAAGCTGGCAGGCTAGGCGCACGGCGTACAAGGGAGACAAAATGTCGAGCGCGCTCCCTGGCGGACCCCGGCGAAACGGCTGGATGGCCGCCGGGGTGTGCCGAAAAGCTCTGCCTCCCAAGCCGTCCGCGGGAGAGCCCCAGGCGAACCCGCGGAGGGACCCTCCACGTGCTCACCGCGTCCTGCCCTCCTCCTTCCTCCTGAAGCTCGCCCTCCTCTTCCTATGGTGGCTGCTGCCCTCCCCGGGCAGAAAGGATATCCACACCGCTGCCGACAACCTAGTGAAAGATTCCACATTGTGCGGTCTGCACTCGCGCACGCAGGACGACGAGGACGAAGACGAGGATGACGACGAGGAGGACGACGAGGATGAGGAAGACGAAGAGGATGAGAAGAAGGCTGAGGAGAAGAAAGATGAGGATAGCGGGGCGGAGAAATATGAGGACGATGGTGAAGGGGGGGAGGAGGAGGAGGAGGAGAAGTCCGTAGCCATTTTGGCTCAAGCCTGCCTTGGGCGCCAGGCAGGCAGGTGCTTGCTTGGCCTCTCTCGTCTGCTGCTGCGCTCGAGAGCGGCTCTCTCCATCTCCCCTTCGCCGCGTCCTGTGGCCATGGCGGAGCTTTCGGAGGGGTCCAAGGTTTCTGCTACGGGTGGCCGCCCGCTTCTGTGGCGGCCTAGCTCGCTCCGCTCCCAGGAGGATGCCGCCCTGGGCAGATCGGCTGCGAGAAGAAGGGCCAGGCGGAAATGCAGGCAAGCTTGCGAGAACGCCCTGCGCAAGCTGGCCGAGGCAGAGGCGCGCCCAGGCTCCTGGCAAGATCGGGAGCGGGCGGCGCGGCCGGCGCTGGTGCTCGCGGCCAGCGGGCGCCGGGTCCCTGGGGCGCGACGGCGGCGCCGGAATGCCGCACTTCACGCGGCGCGCATCCCAGCGGTGGGATTCGCAGCCGCCTCTGAGGCCGACCTGGCATGGGCTGCTGCAGGGCCTCGGCTTGGGGAGATGCACACCCACGAGGTCCATGCAGAGGTGCTGGATGGTCAGCTGCTCAACGTGGCTGTGCCTGGCACGGAGGCGCTGGGATTTCAGCCTCCCTGCGCTTTCCCCATCGACGAGGGCGTGGAGGACGAGTGCTCGGGCTGGCCTGCTCCTGGCATCTGGCAGCCTCTCAGCCCCGATGCGGAGACTCGCATCTTCGCGGACGGCTTGGAGGCGGGCTGGCGGCTCGCGGAGCAGTACCTGGAGCACAGGGGGCCCACGGAGAAGGTACGCACCCAGGACGCCTCCCTCGTGTCGTCGGGCGGGGTCGTGGAGGAGGTGCACGAGGAAAGCCTTCGAGGAGCTCCTTTTCGTTTTGCCCCTGGATCTTTTCGCCAGGGTGATCCCGATCTTGACGGCGAAAGTCGGAATGCTGGCTCGTGTGGATATCGGGATCGCCGTGGAGTCACAGGGTCGAGCCGCAAGAGGGCGGTGCATCGCCGCAGCCCTGCGACTTCTGATCCTGGCCCGACGGCGCCGCCGAGTGCAGACGCTTCTGGCGTCGGGCCCCCGCAGAAGGCCGACTGCCAGCAGCAATGAACCCACCCTGTCCTGGGACCAGCCTAGGCGGGGTTTCGGGTTTGGGGCTTCGGCGACGCTTATTCTCCTCTTTCCCTCTTTTCCCCCCTCCGTCTCGGCCTTCCTTCTTCTCCGCAAGCGTCGCCTTAGCCTCCCGTCCATAATTTTGTCGCCTAGAGTGGACTTGTGACACAGCAGTGCAACAGTGCAAGAGGAGGAGGAGAAGGCGATCATGTGTATGGGGTTGAAGCACAAGGGCACAGAACCCCTGATCCGTTGGTAGAGAGAAGGAGGGATAGATGGATATCTTTCCCTCCCGCACGATCAAGGTCTGATCGATCTATCTCAATACCTGAGCCCAAACGGCCGGGCGCAGGAGAGGTAAGGATAAGGAGTAAATATGAGGGTATTACACGGGTTCCATTCACACCCCCCGCCCCGAATCCCGCCCGTTAAGGCGGGACTCGGGAACAGAGGAAGGGAATCCGTAACCTCTGAACTCCTTTAGTCCTTAAGTCAGAAGGCAGCTGGGCTTAAAATCAGCGAAGCCACAGCTGCAAAGTGAAGTTAGAAGGAGCACCCTAAGTCCCCCTTTCTTCTCCAAGCGCGCTTTGGTGCCCCCTCGGTGCGCCCCCCAAAACGCTTCGGCACTCGAGGGCGGAGAAGAATGAGACAAGGGTGGGCGGAGAAAGAAGATCTGAGCGTTAAAGCAACATGCAAACTGCCTCGCTTCTGCGAGGCAGGTGTTGCCACCAGCTAGCATATTATTCTCGACGCAATCAGGTTTAAACTGTTAAAATATGCACGCTAAGATCGCGCTGACGAACACGATCTTGAAATGAAACACATCATTGTGTGAGAGCGAATGTCTGGCCAGACAAAATGTCGTGTTGATGAACACGAAAGTCATGTGTAAAGACTCTGTTTGGCGACTCCCGTTGGCGTTGCTCCTTAGGAGGCTGCCTCGGTGATCGCAAAAGGCATTTGTGTGTGTGGCCACTTTTGTTATATAATGAAGTGGCCTAAAATATGAAATAGCCACCGCTCAAGGCGAACTTTGGTTATATCGAAGTTCGTGCCTTGAGCGGTGGGCCTTGCGGCCGACTCACTACGTGTTGCCGTTCTTGTAGAACCTGCGGTCCCACATCCTCTGGCCGTTGTGCGTCACGTAGCTCGTCGTGAATGTCACCCGAGCCGTTCTCGGGATCCAGTTGCGAAACCAATCATTGTACGTGATGTCCTGGATGTATACGTACTCATCGTTGTTGATCGCGATGTAGATCCAACAGTTGATGTAGTAACTCCAGTACCTGAGGCCCCAGTAGCTGCCCTCAAGGTCATCACGCCAGTACGCGGCGTAATCTGATGTACGCGCTCTCTTGGCACGCGGCCCCGCGGGCGTGTAGTCCGTCGCGCCTGAGGCGCTGGACGCAGCAGCATCGCCAGGAGCAGGGCGCGGCGGCGGCCGCGGATGGCGCGGCGGCTCCATGGCATCATCGGACTGGTGGGATTGTGTATCGGGATCGGTTCTCACCCCTGTATCAACCCCCCTCTGGTCGGTATGTGCTGGATCGAGGGGGCCTAACAACTCATTGGCAATCGCGGCAAGCTTACGCTGAGTGAACTGTTCACGGGTTCCGTCCCTTCTAGGGAGAGAAACCGTGACCAGTCCGCGGGCCTGCCGCGTCTGCCTGTCGATGCGCCCCTCGTTCAGCCACCATTTCCTCCGACCAGCCTGTCCTGTCCTAATGCTGACGTCGAGGATGTCCCACGCATCGCGCATGTCCTTCACTGTCCAGGGCTTCTTGCCGACGTTCACGCGGGCACCTGTCATTTGGTGGTGGAACTTGAGGTCGCTGAGAAAGCGTTGTACGAGATTGGCGAAGGGGTAATACAGAGGTCGGTCGTCGTCGGCTTCGCCCATCAGTCTGCACTCATGTGCAGGAAGGCTACCTGCTTCGACCCACTTCTGATGCCTCTTTTTGGACACATTGGCCAATCTCCGCAACTGATCTTTCTCGTTGCCTGCGTGCGATCGCGCACCCGTCATAATGACGTGCGCACCGTCCTTCATGTATCTCGCGATGTGGTCCTCCGAGAGTGTCGTCTTGATCCAGTTCGTCAGCTTCTGGAGGTACGCGAGATCGCTCTGTGTGGCGGTGCTCTTACCCGTGGCGCCTACGGCCACGGTATACTGCCAACAGATATCACAAAGTGTGCCGTCACCTGTGACAACCCCGAGGGACAGATCTCGACCGCAGTTCTGACAGAGCGGTATGGGATGCAAGATCGTCTCGGGGGCCCCTTCCGAAGTGAGGTGATCGCGGGATCCCCAGCGGGTGTCCTGACCGCGAGCGAGGCTCTGGCCGGTCTGATTGAT